TTTTTGTTATTTTATTTGTTTAATTAGTAGGATAAGCTTTTTTTACTACATGTTTTCTAGTGAAAATAATTTGATAGCAAAAATAATGGAAAAAAATATTTATCGTCTAATTATGTAGAGCTTTCATCACGTTCAACGTTCGTTTGAAAGTAAAAATCGAGCAAATACCTCCGCGGGACTTCTTTATTCAGAATAGTTCAGCGGATTTATGTCGCGAGACAATATGGTCCGGCCGTTCGAGACCCATACATACACTACACAAAAACTTAATGAAAGTCGAAAGTACGCTTTCACTTGTCGGCGGCATTGTATTGTGCGTCAATTGTATACAACACATTTTCAATTGTATTTCTTAAAGTTTTTTAAAACAAGGGTGGCGTACTCCCAGACGGCCATTAGCAGTCTAGCCGGTCATCGGCACAGAATTAGCTACAGCATAAATTTTAAGCAGGTATCGCACACAATGCGACATGTTCTAGATAGCATTATTATTTTTGAGTGGAGTCATGGTCGGTTTTGAATAGAATACGTTTCCAGATTTGAATAAAATCTACGGTTGATTTATTCAGGAGATGCGGGTGACGTTTTGTGTGTGGATAACGAAGCGGCTTTGGTGGGATTGGATAGACTCGTATCTTGTACTGAGCCTTGTAATATGAAATTACATCTGAAGCATGTAATGGAGGCTGTGCACTAGTAATAAGTGCTTGTAATGGTGTAAGAAAGGCGACGGCTCGCACCTGTGCGTCAAACAAGAGCTACCGGAGCTCGGCTGCGTCTGCGCATTGTGGACATATCAAGTGTCAAGCACTCAGCGCGATGACCGACATAAATTAAGGACAGATTTATATACGCTTACATTAATTTAAGTCAAGATAATATAATTTTATTCGTAATAAAACCTATCTAGATTTTCGGTAGTATTTTTGTTTACAACTGCAATAAAACTCGTTCTTCTGATAATAATTATAATATTGAATGTAAATAGTGTTTCCACGAAGTGGTATGCACAGACAGTTTTTGGTGAATAATTTGTGACAGTAATAATATAATTATTATTCAACTAGTAGACCAAAAAAATGCTCAATAACATTAAATAACAGTAGATTACGGCTACATAAGTAGTTCTTACACGTATTTGTAAGAACTATAATTACAATTATTGCCGGCCATGTTTTATTTATACCACACACGAAGTTTCATTGCCGTTTAAAATAAAATAATATGTTATTTGGAGCAATTAGAGTTCTTAATATTTTGATGGCGTCGCGTCATTAATAACTGAAGCGTCGTAAAAAATGTTCTATGTAAGTACGGTACGTTATTACAAACATACCTACGATCATATTACTTAAAAAAAATAGTGACTATGGATTTTTCTTTTTTTAATAGATTTGGATTAGATATCGTTTGAAAATCTGTAAAGAGGTTTTAATTCGACTGCTTAGTTGGGACAGTGTTTAGGCGATTGGAATTGCAGCTGCTCCAACAAACTTAGTTTTAACTTGAATGAGTTTTTAGACACACTCAACTATATATTCCCAGCAACGAATTTGAACAAAACTTAAAATTTTGAATAAATCTTTATTACCCCAGTAAGTACACCCACGTGAACATAATTATAATTAAAGCTGATGTAAAGTACAAATTAAGTGAATTATTATATGGTAATTAATGTCTGACGTATTATTATAATTTATGGCACTCATTATCATTGCGTTATTTAACTCAAAGCAAGTGCTTCGGTTACGCAAAATTATTATTATTATAGTATATTACTGACTTGTTTGTGTACTTGGTTGGTAGCGAATTAACGATTCTTATAATAACTATCGTGAGACATACTAAAATAACTAAAATCGCGGGTTACCCACGTGAATATACTGAGAAAAGCTCTACTAGTTTCGAACCACAGAGGGGTTCTTCCTCATGAGCAGCGTGCGCGGTCGCGGCGACGTCACGACGGCGATTTTAGTTAATTTAATTAGCGATTCGATTGTACTGAAACTTGAAATGAAATGAAACCTTTATTTGTGATACATATGCACATTTGGTTGGCTATTTTTAAATTAAAGTGCGCTATGATCAGCCTATTTTAGGCATACCAATAATCGTTTAAGAGTTTAAATCAATAAGTCAATTAATTAGTTAGGTAAGTAAATATGAATTTGTCTTGTTTTAATGAATTACATGTCAATATTGTTCGTCAAAAAGTCAGATGAGGAAGACTACAAAGACTACAAGATAAGTCATAATAAATTGATATCAATAAATAGGTAATTAATGGATTATTGTAGTCAATACATTAAACCTAAGTCAACAAACAACTTACTAACAAAAAAGCAAGTTTAAGTAGCTAAGAAGAATATGGCGTGGCTTAAGAGCTGTCAAAGAGACGAAGTTGTCTATTGGGTGTAAGAACCTATTACCGCTAATACGTTAACCGCCGCGTAGGTCACCGGTGACTTACGTTAGCGGAGGATTTGCCATCAGCAATTTTGTGTCGGCAGTCAAAGGCTTAAAAGGCCTGGAATATGATGGTAAGTGAATTTCTCAGGTGCGGCGTCGTGGTTGCGTTGACAAACAAACAACAACAACAATTTGAGAATCACAGAGAATCCGGTAGTTGACGAGTCAAATTCAATACTTTTATTGATATGTTCAAAACGATACTTTTCTATGAATTTTGTATAAATATACCAACTTATGACATTTTCAAATTTTTGCAGAAAAACGCACACTTATTTCTGAAATACGAGCATTTCCAAGAATATATTGAAAATTAAGAATATCGTTAAATCGATGAATTAAAAAGGTTTTTGTTTTTGAATATTTAATCTTATTGAAAAAATCCAAATCACTTATATTTGACCCAAAAATCTACCCAATTGCTCACAAGTTGCAGCAGCATCCGGTTGTCATGCCATTGCGCCAACCGTGCAACCAATTTTCAATTTAAGCCTTCGGGTCATTTTGTTCAGACACGCCTAGTGCTAAGCTTTACAGCTTAACCTAACCCGTCAGGGTTATGTTATAAAGTTATAATACAGCAATTTAGTCATTTTAAAAACTTACCGGCACAAAACTGAAGTAGGTGCCGGTTTTGTAGACATACCAGCACATCAAGCTACCCGTAACTATAAAAATTTCTCCAAATAAATTTCATCTTTATTACAAGACAATAAAGTTAAAAGTTTATTAGAGAAATTTGACAGTTTGAGTTAGTTTGATGTGCTTGGCGTCTGTAGTAGAGGCACGTCGTGCTTATATGCGTGTTTTAATGATATTGAAAGCATTGAGTATCTGCATAATAAACAGATTTTCACGGCGTGTTCTTAAGAATTTAGTACTAAACAGACACTGCTTTAATATCTTATGCAAGACTTAGCGATGCATCGAAGTACCTAAGTACTTACAACGTAGACAAGACTCGCCCATTATGTTTGGAATCTAAAATAAAGGATTTTCTAATATCACGCGTTATAACATCACGCGTTCCATACCTCGAAGAAATAGTCAGAGGTATGTATGTAGTTGGGAATGAACGTATTAGCGATCCATCGAATATAATTCTCTGTTTAAACTGTCAAACACCAAGCGGTCACCGGTGACCGCGACCTATTGTTCTTTAATTGTGTCTATAAAACCGGTACTCGACGAGTTAAGTGTAAATTGCTTATTATAGTTTATAGTGTGAAAATGTGATAATTAAGCTACGGGTGGTAATTAAAGTTATAGTCGTGTAGCTAGTTGTTATACTTTTTAGATGAGTTAATAAAATTTATGTGTCCGGTGCGTTCGCATTACACGAAGGTGAAGGAAACTTAAGATGTAAGGATGGTAGTTAAAAGTCTGTGCAAAAACGCAGATGACGGCTTATATTTAAATATTCGGACGAGAGTATATTTGTCTTAAGATATAGTATAATGCCACAAAAAAGAGTATGCTATATTCTCCACATTCGGTCATGACACACTTAACTTTTATATCCACAGCAATAATAACTTGTAGAAATCTATACAAACACAAAATCAACTTTATAAGGCGACGTCAAAAATCACAATAACGATGAAGCGATGAAAAGGCTTCGAATATAAAAGTACGACACTAAACACGGACATTAAATGGTTCAAAGTCATTAGTCATTTATCTGACAGCGGAACGAGCGACAACACATTACGAGGCAAACAAGCAGCTATACCATACGTGATTAAAATGGATGAGAAACGTGTCGAAATATTGTCGAAAATGTGAAACTACAAATAAAAACGTCAACATTACACGTGTCGTTAAAAAGTTGTAATGTTTATATTTATGTTAACGACGTGTGGAGTTACTATGCCGTCCTAGTGATAAGGACAGCCCACTCGGAAACAAAACTAGACAATGATGTCAAGAATTCACAATGCTGTAAACCTTTTAACCTACCACGTTGATGTCAGTATGTCCGCTTTGAGAGTCGGTATTCATCAGAAAAACAGTTAAAGTGTAAATCATAGTAACATGTGCAATAATAAGTAATTAATATAAGGAATCTTAAATGTTTACTATTAGCAGGTTATAGCAACACTAAAGCAATAACGATTGTGAAGGAACTGGTTGTAATGGTGGTCGCATGATGGGCAGACAGCTCGTTACTAATCGTCCGCTCCTGCGGAATTTATGAGTGTGTGCAACACTTTTAGTTGCCAAGTCTGACTTGCAACACCCGCGGTACCGCTACACTTTGTAGTTAAAGTCTCCAGCTAAATAAGTGGAAGTGTACAATATCGTCGTACACTTTGTAAGGAGTTAGCGAGGAACATTATAACTGTATGATAGAATTCATTAATGATAAGCTGTATCCCGGTTTAATTAAGTATTTCAGCGGTTTATTGTCGAGACATGGGTTAATAAAAGTAGAATTTATTGATGGTATAATGTCTGTGCTTTTATGTATGCTTGTATGAGATAGGAACCTGTACGGGTGGTGGCGAAGGCAGGGGCGCCTCCCAGGCTTGTCACAAATCTCCCCAGATGACTGCGCGCTTGCCGCGATCTACTGACGCCAGTAATCCAGACTGAGGATGCCATGACACCGCCGTTACTGCCGACCTGAAAATAATAAATTACCTTTATATGGTACTAGAACAAGTTTTAATTGTGAACGTAAATAAAGATACACGAATCAAGTTATAGAAAAAATACTTCAAAGTAGGTCCAGAGGGAAAAGACAAAATAGGTACAAAGTCATTACAAAAGAAGCACCTAATACAATGAGGAAATTACAGGTACCATACTGCGAGGCTCTATAAAGATTATACAATCGCCATGGCCGGCAATATTTTGTGCAACTTAGACTTTGCGGTCGTGTTCAGCAGCCGCGCTTACGACCACTAAACACAGATGCATAATTAACTTCAAATAAAGCAATAATAAATGTTATTTCTGAATTAACAACGAAAGAGGTTAAATAACATCCACCTTCATATAACGGTCACACAAAAAGTATCATCTTCAATCTACATGTGCAAGTACCTGAACACAAACATTTTATGACCATTGATGCTGATGATGATTGAACAAATTAAGGTTTAGCCGGAAAATATATGCAAAAATGTTTATAGCGGCCATCAGGCTATCATCAAGATCACCTGCGTGTAACACGAACATTTTCTTCTAAGATCAGCCACAAAAATTGAAAGTTTAATCTTTGAAGTTAGCTAGGAATTCCGACAAAATCTAAGTTCACCGGGTCATAAAATAAAACAAGTACTTAGTTTATCATAAAACTGGAGCGTTTTTGTGTGCAAGTCGCATGAACCGTTACATTTCTCAGAATATTATATGAGGAGACTATGAACGGTATCCGGCGTTATATGACCGTACATTACGAATATTATGTCGCAGTTTAAATCTGTGTTACTAGCACTTACAGATACTCATCGGGCTCTATTAACACATCGACTCTTAAATGAGATTAACAAAAATATGTCCAATAAAAAAAACCAATATTCTTGACCATATACCGAAGATGATCGTAGAATGGAGAGCGGTCACGACGTTTGAAATACATTTCAGTTTGCGGGATCCATTTAACTTATAAGGAAGGATTGTGACCCGACAAGTCCATAGTCGTACAATTTCGAGTATAGGAACTGTTGTACGCAGCTTTGATTGTCGGAGGCCGCTTAAAGGCTTTACATCGTATCTATGCGGGGCGAGGCCTCTCATAAACAAGAATTAGCGTCGGGTTTGTTCGGCTCGTTTACACATACCGCTCCCGGTCGCGTATAACGAGCCTGACCAGGGATATCCAATACGGGGACTAGGAAGCGCCGTAACACGAACAAATCTGGTAAGCAAAACCTGCGATTGTTTCCTTATTGCATTCCGCCTCCGATATCATGATTGTTTTTATTGAATCATATCATAGCAGTACGTGCGCCTGCGCCAACATGTTGTTCCGACTGCTCTGATTACTGTCGGAAACCACCTCCTCGTCAGAAACTTAATAACCGTTAATGTATTCAATTTCTATATTGGACTCCATGCGCAGTTAATTAAGTGATGGCTTTAATGGTTCCGCCTACAGGGCAACGTTTGGAAAACGTTGTAAATAATAATTAACGCTGAACTAAAGTAATAAAATGTTGAGAACCGGATTTGTTGATCGATTTATTCTGTACATGAAAATATAATTAGTGCATGGCCGATATTTACACGTTGCTTGAATATTTATATTGCTATAAATGGACATACATAAATGTGTATGTCGTTGTCGTATTTCTTACTCCCGGCCTGGCTTGATTCATAACTAAGTAACAGGCCTTCAGTGTTCGGAAACAGGTTACCCAATAAAGTAATTTCAAGAACCTATCTGCAGCGGTCGTTACCCTTTCCGCTACAAAAAGCATGCACTGCGATTAGTCGAGACCAATGTCCGGACATACACTACATACCGTACTGGCGCTGGTGATCTCGAGGGTAGTTAAAAACTGATCATACGGGACTTCCAACAAAAGAGACTTGCTTTAGGCGCACTCAAGAAATGCTTAATTTAAAACGTGAATCGCGGTCTGCATGCACTTAGTACTAAGATTAAATGTGCTTCACTTCGTATCCGTAGCTGTTAGAATAGTACGCGTCGTATTTTCTTTACTCCACATAAGAAAATGAACGTCTGTTAATAATCTCCAACGTTTATTAGGCAATAACTTCTGTACAGAACGAATAAACTATCCGCCGCGGAAATTATTAAGAGCATACACGCGAGGTGGTAGTTATCGGCACTTGTCAAGTTTACTACTTCCACTCTGAAATAAGTTATCATAACAAAAAGTACACTACGAACTGACTTACGAATTATTTTTAGCTCTAAGCCACATTCCACGCATATTTAATTGGAATATCTCGGGATCGCAAGCAATCTGTATCGTCCTTAATCGATAGCCATTTGAAGACGATTAATTGCCAATAATGTATTTTGTTCCGAGTCTAATGATAAGATTCAACGATTGTGTGTCCTGGAGATAAATCATGGTAATCGTGGACGACAACAATAATGTGTGTCGCACATGTTTGAGCTAATTTTGTGCGACGGCCGCCTGCTGGGCGTGAACATCGGACAACTTTGATACAACGTACGCAGAGTACCGCGGATGACGTACAAAAGCACAACCATAGACTATTACACTAACATCGCGGTCCTATTGCACGAACTATTCCGGAAACGTCCGAACTCATGTTCGGTCAAGTTCAGTGTGCATTCACTATATTTTGTACATTTATTGACTTGAACTATCCCAAATTATTGCTGTTACAGTACTACTATTTGTGGCAGCAATAATTCTAAATGATATATTCACACACTTGAATGATCGTCTATGAAATATTTTATTATTGTCAAGACCCTTTACCAAGCAAATGTTCATATACAGAACAGACGTATATTAGGAAGTAATTTAAATGTTTGCAATGACATGTAATAGTTACAGTCCCTCCGCGGTTAAAAGCGTATGAGTATGAAATAGGAAACAATGGCTGGTCTTAAGGAAAACAATCTTTATTGCTCATCTCACTTTATTTCGATATTGTTGTGTTCAAATTGATTTTAGCCGGAGATGATAAGAGTTTTATGTCGCAACGGTATACTGTAGGAAACCGTAGTAATGTTTGTTTCAATATTGAATCAGACTCGACAATACAGTAATAAAGTGGGCGAGTAGCTTAACTGTTCAAACTCACATCGAACACTGAACAAACTCGCATCAGTGTGGTACCTATTACTAAGCGAAAATATGCATGTCGAGATGCGGAGGAATGTTTCCGCGTTACTTTTGTCCTTGTTACGGTAAAATTGTTTACACTATTGTGTGTGGTGTGTCGGCGCGAATTAAGTGCGATTGCATCGCGCCGTGCACTTGTGGTGGACACTGCGAGGGAACAATATGTCCCATTTGCGGCGATCTGCGGGAGAATGGGCCCCTACCACGGGTTGCGCGGGTGTCTTGACAAAGATTCGATCAAGTCCTATTGCAGCGAGCGCTGCCGATAAGACTGGACGCGACGCTCGACAAGACCTAAGGGCAAGCAGTCCTTTGACTGCCGCGCTTGTCTACGACCAGGAAGTGCTATCGTAAATAATGTGCCATTTAAATGTACGATATGTCTTTAATATTCAACTAATTAAATATCAAAGTGTGGAACAAGTACATACAATGCAGTTGAACGTAATGCCTTCCTACAAGCTTAGATTACTTGTCGGATTCCAGAAAATCACATTACAATGTTTTGGCATTTCGTATTCAAATGGATTCAAATGTCATTCTTTACTTTAATCGCATCGAGCAGGTGTGACGATAGCTTAATGCCAAATAAATATGCAGTGTACGGTATGGGAAAGAGAAATTTGCAATGGTGAGACAGTCGAGCCAATGTTGACCTCACGATTTCAATTGTCCATGCGAAATGTTACGGGGATAGCGAACGATGTCGCGACTAAAACAATTCCAGTTTAAAATTCAAGGTCAGAAATGTGTCTGCTGAAAATTTATTGCGAATCTCAAAGGTCACATCTTCCGTGAGCCACAGTTACAGTTAGAAAGAAACGAACGAATTGAAAACAAATTGCAGCGCTCCGCAAACGCTATAGGTGAGCTATTGTTTAGGACGTCTGTAGATTATATCGAGAGCTATTTCAATAACTCAAGATATAAATTAGGTATTTTGTGATTATAGTAATGGATTTATTGTCTAGTAGCAAATATGGATCTCAACTGGGAATATTTGGAGCTATTTCTATTGTGTTTTATATCGCTCCATATAATCAGAGTAATGTCATTGTCTTGCAAAATTCTGACATAAGAATATTTAGTTGGCAGTTGTATACAAGGGAGGTATAATGAATTAGAATCCTGATCTATAAAGAGTGAGGTAAGTTGTAAAAGTGGAGGAACTGGTTGCAATGGTCCGAGTAAATCAGTGAGTTAGCAACCGCTTATGCACCTCGCTATCTTTTAGAATAAACTTAGTACTTAGTGCAGCGATACTAGTTATCATGATAGAGATACCTGTAAGCTCGGTGACATCACCGTTTTATTTTATATCCTAATGCGAGGACATAATCATCATTGCGTAGATATAGGAGTCAATAAACTAATTAGCAGAACGAGATTTAACTTAAAGACTTCATCAGAGAGACCGTTGCATAGAGTATAGTCAAAGTCGTCTTTACTTCATTAAAGGTACTGTTGAGGTGTTAAACAGTTTAATGTCAATTTATGGTTGGCTTTCGACGAATGATTTTCAGTTTAAATTGCTTTTCGACTAATCACGGAACGCAATTATAATAGGGAATTAAAGATAGTTTGAGGAGTTCTTCGAATTAGGTGAAGACTTGGGGCTTTATTTAACCACTGCAAAGCTGTGTATCAATGTTTGTATGTATTTATAAATTGTACAATACAAATGGCTGGATCGATATTGTAGATTTGTTTCGTGGGTGCGGTCTCTTGGATAGTTTAGTTTTGTTATTGAACGAAGTGGGTGGCACAGCGATCGAGTTCTACAACATTCCGCCACTGAAATGTTACTTATTAACTTTAAACAAATAATTAATCATAATAATCTTCAATATTAAGATGCCTTTTTACATTTAGTTTTCTAAGCAGGTTTTACCTAAAATCTAGTCACAGACAACATAAAAACAGCTACGTTAATTAATGTCATGTATCTAATATAAAAATAGATAATCATTAATTAATGAAGTTGTTAATTGGAGATAACCCTGTCATTAATATTCACTAGTGTCAATAACATTTATAATGATACCTATAGAAAAAGTTTGTGTGATAAAATTAAGTTTGTACTAAATTTCCTTAGTAGTATTAAATATCAAATATCAACAATTTATAGGTTATATTGTGTTTGTTAGTAGTCATAACAAATTATAAGTGAGCCATTTCTGTATAAACGATGTTTTATCTATTTGAAAACTTAGACAATTTGTCACATTGGGGATTTTTTCAATAATATATATTTATACCTAAAAGTTAAAATGTGAAAGTTTGTGGATGTATCGCGTTATTCTTTCACATAAAAAACTAAGAAAGAAATTAAGCACAGAGTTAGATAAAGTAATAGTGAATCACAAAATACTACTTTCCAAACTGATAATACGTGCAAAGTGACCGCACAAAAAATCATAATATTACATTGAAATATTATTTCACAGCTCATTATTTATTACAGTATAATGAATTCAATTAACATAGAATTCAAAATGTACTTACGTGTGATCCTTGAGTATAGTTTCGAGTCGTCCGGAATGTGTGTTCCATACATATGCGGCCCCGTCAGCCGCGCCGACGGACAGCAGTCGCCCGCCCGGACCGAACGCCGCCCGCGACCAGTCGCACCCCACCTTGAACGACTCATGGCTGAAATGCAATACAGTAGTTGATAACTTTTATTTATTTATAGCTTTTGTTCAGAGATGACAATTTGTTTTTATCTTAAGTGTAGGTTATGTTAGTTGTGCTTTTACAAAATATTTGCTAGGACATAAAGGCCTACTCTATTCTGGCGTTATCACCACTCTACTCCAAATGATTCAAGTTAACAGATGTTAACTTGAGTTAACAGATGTTAACTTGAATCCAGATGGTAAAAATCAATATTTTCATTGAAATGTAAATAATACACTGTTCCATCTATAGATTTTATGTAAAATGTCTGGTTTGTCACGTCATCATATTTTTGCATTAAACATCATATAATTATACTTCTAAAAAAATCAAAAATGAAATATTCTTAACGTGTAATCAATTGTTGTAATTATAATTACATATAAATATTGTATTGTAATGAAAAGTTGAAATATATCTTTTTCACTGAGGAAAATACCTAATTAGCCCTGTATACAACGCGCCAAATAACTCTACCGCTAAAGACCGGGACGGAGATATACAATACGGTAAAGAGCGATAAAGACAGCAATAATCTTGGCTGAAATGCAATTAGTTGTGTAGACTTTGTCACGTAGGCACTAATAAGTCTATCGCAGAAACTTAATGTACAGGTGTTTAGGATACCTTCTGATTCACATTGGAATGTGGCCAACGCAGAACTAGAATTTACTATATTTTATTTGTTTCTTTAATTAAAAAGTTCTTAATTAACACAAAACTAAAACGTTTCTCGTGTAGAGTCAAAATTTTATTAAATTTTATTAATTGGACAACAAAATTCTCGTAAAATTAATTAATAAATGTAAATAATATTTATTTATATAATTATTTATTTATATTTAATGATCATCTCTCCAGTTATTTATTATCTCAATATCATAAATCAAAACAACACTGAAAATAATCAATTAATAAAATACCAATTATATTTAGTTAACGAACTTTCTCATGAGATTTGTTTATAATATCATCATGATAAAGTTGGTGTTCGGTGCTTTTCGGCAATCCCGATATGTTATCGCAATCTGTTGTAGCCGTTTATTATACATTAAAAATTTACAATATATTTATACACTATATTTACAGTAATAAAACAGTATAGGAAGTAAAATGTAATTAAGAAAAGTATTTTTCTTTAGTACTGTGAACTGATAAGTGCCATGTAAGAAAAAAACTATGAAAACCTAGAAAAAACTATACAGTCTGCAAAGAAGTACAATTCATGTAATTCTATAGTACATAAGCAAAAGGAAATTAACTTTTCTAGTACAAAAGATTTACGAGTGAGAACCAAACAAATGTCTGTAGAACAAAAGACATCAACGCGCTAGACTGATGTATGTCGGTACTTCGATATGTTAACAAAAGGCAAATGTTTATGGTCTTCTAATGTTACAGTTATGATACTATTTAGAACGTATCGAGCTCTGAACTGACTGATTTTAAGTAATAAAAATAGAGAAAGCAAACTTCAGAATTGTTCAGAAATTGTATAATGTTCGGTTTTGATATTAAATCAACACAGATTCTATGTAGTACATTCTTTTTTGTTGTTTCATTTTCGAATTTATACAATTCTGTATAAAGATTAATTTCATCTTTTTGTTTCTCAAAGTTTCACATTATAATCATTTCTTTAGTTTTATTTTTACAACTCCATTGATTATTGGTCTCACCAAAATGTTTCGCAACCTTTCATATAGAACACACGCTTCAGTTTACTGAAACTCCTTACCTAGACAGTCTATAATTTACGTACGTCTGTTTCAATTTAAATTTAAGCAATCATTATTTGGTTTACCACTATTGTTCTAGAGTGAGTCGTAAAATCCAGAATATCTAACTGTAAAGGTTTCTTAGACTATTACATCGCAGGAAAAGACATAAAACTTTATACTGGCGCAGCAGAGTTACAAGTAATAATAATAAATTATAGTGTACATCTGTACGTACCTGAAAGAACGGACGATGGTATTCATCCTCAGATCTATTAGTTGTATTGTGTCGTCCCGAACGCACGCCAGCAGGTAATTGTTGTCTGAAACCAAAGTTCACGTGTCAATAAGATTTTAAAAATACGTTAACACATCAACCGCTTCACAGTTCCGACCAATATAATGTATTAGTGATCATAAAAGTTTGATTTATAGATGATGTTCCGTCTGATACAGGTGTAAGAAAATATATATGCACACTAGCTGTTGCTCGCTACTTCATCTGCATAGAACATAAGAACATAACGTTTTTTTTTGTTTTAATTTTCCAAAATAAAAGTAGCCTATATTACTCCTTAGTACATCAGTTACATGCCAATGAAAGTTTTGCAATATCAGTCCAGCCATTCCAGAGATTAGCCAATACAAACAGACAGATAGACAGAATGACAAAAATTGTATTTTTTTTTATTTTGGTATGTGTATCGTATGTATATTCATATGTATGTAGTAAAAAGCTGATATTTTATTATTACAAACAGAAACTCCAAATTTAATTATCTGTATATTTTACGCTCATCAGACAATAAGAGTTTGTGATAGTCCACAAATGGACTATGCACCTTCTCTGGATAAGAAGGGTTTGCTGTGTATCTCCACGCTTGGTAGTTCGAAAGGTTTAGGTTGAGAGAGAGAGCGTTATTGTTTGGTCTCTGTTAACTAACTATGTAGTCCCTTAATTGCTTCTTGCCACATCTGCGGGAAGAATAAGGAGGGACAAACAAATGTATTCTATTCCGTTTTCACCACAAAGATTGAAATATAAATATATTAAGCTTTCGCCTAATTTAGACAATTTGTAATCGAAAATCCGCTATGTTCTTTATTGCTGCTTCGATAATCGTTGCGGAGGTAATGTTTAACCTTAAACCTTTAACTGGCGCTTAACTCGTCGAGTACCGTATTTATAGACACAATTAAAGAACAATAGGTTGCGGTCACCGGTGACCGCTTGGTGTTTGACAGTTTAATAGTTTTAATGTAAGGTAAACAGGTCCACGGATCGGGCACACCGCTTTATTAAATTAGATGATTTAAGTGTACGATAACATCATCGTTTCATTAGCTATCAGTCCGTATGAAGAGCGATCAAATGTCTTGAGGTCAGTAATAAATTCTGATGCGGTTTGCGAGCCATTAGTTGTTACTGGTACAAACGTGAGATTGGCGTCAATGTGCTAACATCAGCTTGGTACTAGGAAAGCAGTGCTCGCGTCGTGCTCCAGCAATTTATACGATAATCTACAATTTACGTTTACATGTTCTTTCATTCATTAGAATGAATTTATCGACTTGAATTTATGATATTTTTACACGTTAATCTATAATGATAAATTATATGTTATTTTAATGCATCATAAATATTAATGAAAACATAGAAATTTGCATTTTCGATTTTATATTTGAAAGTGTTGGTTGATATTACTAATCTTCATGATCTTCAATATTGGCGATATTAAGTAAAGGATAGGATAGACAAGGTGATGCATTCAATTACAGAAAATTTACAAGATAGTGACAAAGTATTAAACTTATACATATTGGTACGTACGCTATGACTTTTATTCAAGAGCAGCTAAGAACAAAATACTGTATTTATTGCTGTTATTTATCAGAGACTGTATTTATTCTCCGATGGAATGTATGTGGTACATATCTTTCAACGCTATTAACTATTTAATTTCAACTACAACAATCTTGAGAAAATAGCTTTTTGTTTTATGGTTTTATCAAGAATGTTGTCATTAATTTCTCTTCTCACTTACAATACTATTAATAAATATGAAGAGAACAATCTCGATGAATGAGATCTATAACATAGTGCATTTCTTTCTTCAATAAAATCCTCAATGGACTATCATATATCTTTCTGAACGATCTATTCGAACGATAAAACGATTTTTTTTTTCAAATTGCTTCTATCTTATTGAAGTACCTGGTTTCACAACTCTTATTTTGCTTTCATGCAATCATTTTAATTACAACCGTTTTTTATCAATTAAAATTATAATTGAGAATTAATTCTTAAAATATTTTAGCCCCAATTTGTACTTCAATAAAATTGGTAATGAATGTAGGACACATGCATTTTGGAACTCTAGTTATTTGTGCGCCACATAGTGCAGTGCATGATAGATTGTCGATAGCGCTGATGGATCTGGATCGAGCGTGATGTCTAACTGTGAACTGTCTCCTCATTCATTTGTCCGATGAAATCGACGTGATTTAATCAGTTTCCGAGGCAGTGACGTCCCGACACCGCGATTGATTGGAGGTATCAATCCGAACGTTTCGTGCGATGCACAGACCGTTACTGACAAAAAAGGGATCGATCGAGAAACGCGTAACGGAAATGGGCATTGCGCACCCGTCACGTTGTAGTGCTGACACGAATACCAATACTAATATGCGATGCATTCAATTACAGAAAATTTACAAGTACTTCAATCTATAAACAGCTATTTAACATTTGATGCTGTGTACTTGTCTCGCAGCTGAACACAGGTAGCGATGTTAATCTTAACTACTGTTCCTTTAACTGCTCGACGGCTTAGTTAATTTCTTGCATTTGAATATTAATGGATGTACAAGATTAATGGTGCCATCTCATCGTGGCTGTCTATAAAATCATGCTATGACTGTTAGAGTATGGGTGCGCGCGAAGGTTCAAGCAAGGTACATTTCCTTGCGTTTAAATATATTGGCGTTGACAGAAGCGGTGCTGAGATAAACACATACCTCTACTGAGATCAAGCGAGGTGACCTTTCCTTGCAGCATTATATCATTGGCGGACATCTCGGTGCGAATGTCCCAAAACCTGATCCTCTTGTCGAAGTGTCCCGAGATGATGGTGGAGCCGGCCCCGTCTGACGTCACCAGGTCGTTACACGACGACCCCGCGAACTTTGTCTCGGTACCTGTGGAAGCGTGCATTATAAAATCTGTGTCATACAACGGTTGATCATAACAATAAAATTTCCTGAAGGCCTATTTAATGTTTACAGTAAATTGCTTGCGTGTGTTATTGCAGTCATGACTAAAGATTCTTCGTTGTGTAGATGTTAAATTTTATGACTAATACGAGTGTTTTAAGTGGACGCTAACCCGTGATGTAATAAAGTAATAATTTATTGTTGTGGGTAAATTATTGCGCTATACGTTATGATTACTATCGTTGTCCTTCGGGGTATTTATTTTATTTGGTGATCATAGTATTCATGGGACATAAATAGCGAATACGGTAGCTGTAATTATCTTCTCAAGTTTCGAATGCGTTGCTATGTATAGTGTATTTTATGGAATCCCAGGTAGGAAAATTGTTTTAAGTAATAGTTAATGATAAAAACAAAAAAACTTGAAGAAGCAACATTACACATTACTAATTAACACATATGACGTAAACCATTTGTCATTAATGGCTACGAGATTTTGTAGCAATTTTTGGCGTAGCGGCTACAGTTCTATTTTTGTCACTTAAAATAACCTCACCACCTTTTGCCATATCAACTTACTAGCTTAAACTGTCAAACACCAAGCGGTCACCGGTGACCGCGACCTATTGTTCTTTAATTGTGTCTATAAAACCGGTACTCGACGAGTTAAGTTACACAATTAAATGGATAGACAGATTAAGTGAAACGAGAAAATGTACTCTCATTAAACAGGGACAAGTTATAAATAGCATTACAAGGAAAAAATTGACGATAACTTATTTGGATATATCGATGGCATAGAAAAAGTACAAGTGCACGTAGTCTTCACTTGATTGCGGCTAACCACAGCTCGCCGTCTCTATAGCGATGAGATTTACAGATCGATGCACTACAATACCTATGGTATTCTTTTGTATACACTTACTAGATTTTCGTCTGCGGCTTTTTAATCGCAGAATTCAGAAGCTTTCTCCCAATGTTCATAATGGACTATGGTTTCATAACAGACTATGAACAATAATGGCTGTTCTCATCAACCATTCCTAAATCATCTCTTAACTAAAAGCTACTCGGCGTGAATAAATACCTAAACTAACCCTTTATCTCTTAGTTCCTTAATATTTAAGAGACGTTGGTGAAATCGGGCATAATTCTACAAGTGAGGAAAACATTTTTAGAATCGAGTAATTTTAGAGCTCATTCGGTATAAGCAATCAAATTAGTGAAGAGCTGAACGTCAACCAATTATGTAAACGAGTTCTAACTAAAATATCCGGCAATATTTAAACAAATTCAGTATTTTACGAGACGTACGAAGAATACTCCTATAAACATAATGCAAGTTTTATTGTTAACCCGTCGCTAAGGGTTCAGTACTTCAGAAAGTCTTAAATATATATTTTATCTTTATAGGTACCAGTTTAAGTTGGCAGGCGGCGAAATAGGAAACTACTAAAATGAAATTGAAATACCATTAAACGTAATATAATCATCGTTAAATAACTTATACCTGTCCAGGGGTTATTGGACGAAATAATATAATTTCCGGCATTGGAAATGTCAATATGTATTACCCACTTAGTTTAGTTCTGACTGCATTTTTTTTTTTTTTTTTTTTTTTAAGGGGGGAAAATCATCGAATGACTGCTCCCGCCTGGGTGAGGCGGAACGGAGTGTCAGACTCTTACTGACTAAAAACCACCCCGTTCCTTCTCCTGCACGTCGAGCCGGAGCCCCGGTTACCCGTTAGGTTCTCCGCGACTCCGAATCGGCATCGGCCCTATTGGGCCCCATCTGTGGTGGTCTGATGGCTCTTTGAGGCGCGCGCGGAACGCGGTGGCCGGAGATCGTCCCGCGATCCACGACGCCCGGTGTGTCCTTCGCGATGGCTGGGTTGCGAGGAGGCAGCGCTTCGCTGCCTCACGCGTCCCGCCTCCTCCTTAGCTAGCATGACTGCTTCGCAAAAGGAGGAGACGGCATCCCAGTCCCCCTCGCTCCGCATCATGGCCTGCACTAGGCCCGGACGCGAGAGGTCGCCATCGCCGATCACTTCCCTGAGGGCACGGCGGTGCTCAGCCCACGCAGGGCATTCCGCTACGGTGTGTTCCACCGTGTCCTCAGGGCGGTCCTCGCAGTGATGACACCCGGGCGTTTCCTCCCGCCCCATCAGACACAGGTACCTCCCGAAACTTCCATGTCCGGTGAGGACCTGCGTCAGGCGGTAGGTGAGGACGCCGTAGCGTCTCTCAAGCCACTCCTCAAAGAGGGGTCTTACCGCTGCAATGGCAGCGAGCCCAGCCCTCGGTTGCGACAGTCGTTGCTGCCATTCCGCCATGAGATCGCGCCGGAGCTCATCCCGCCACGCACTTATCTGGCGCGGCAGAGGAGTTTCGCCCCGGCGACGTGCCTCCGCGCGCATGCGATACACGCGCGCGAGCACCTTCGCCTCCAGATCCCACGGCGGTAATCCGGTAAGGAGGTTCGCCGACTCCCCGGAGATCGTGCGGTATCCGCGGATCATTCGGATCGCCATGACCCTCTGTGACATGAGCAGCGTCCGAGCAGGACGCCGCAACAAGTTCGGCGCCCAAACAGGGGCGCCGTAGAGGGCCATGGACCGCACGACCCCGGCGTATAACCTCCGGCAGGAGGCGTTTGGCCCCCCGAGGTTGGGGAGGATGCGCTTAAACGCAGCCTCCGCCCTCGCCAACTTTGGAGCCAAACGTCGGAAGTGCTCCACGAAGAGTTCTGACTGCATAGAAGGTATAAATAATCTAATGTTCATAAATAATTATATATTGCAATGAAACTCATATAATATCAAAGATATGTTAACAAAAAAGCAATAGGATTATATAGACTTGTAGCCAGAGCCTTAGTTAATACTCGCAGACAGTTACCACATCGTTCGTAATGAGTTAATTTAAAAATATTAAATAATCTGTCAATTCTTATCGATACCTGATGTTTATCTATGACAAGTCCCAATATAAAGCGTGTTTGAAAAAATACTAATGTAATAAATTGAACTGTGTGTCGGCGCTACGGGACGCCGTAGTTATTCACACTCGATTGAGAATTAAGTCATAAATAGATGATTGCTTATGAAATGTGAGTAACAATATATTGGCTACTTGTTTGGGAGGTCTTATTTTGTAGTTTAGTTTCTTGTTAATTAAAGTTGCTTCGTCGAATATTCAGCCAATCATACTCCAATGAAAAGTTCTTATTTTATCCTATACACTTTTTTGTATATCACAAAATTTTACGTATTGCATTTTAGATTAAGTTAAGCGTGCTCCAACATCGGCCACATCATCGCTTGGGGAGATGGTGGCCAAAACTCGACCTATCAAGTATAAAAAAAAAATTTCTGTAAGTTGCATATCACTTTCGTCTTCCTTCTCCTCCTCCTCCTCTTTCCATGTTAAGGCAACCACTGCGACAGTTTCTACACTAAGCTACAGCTGTAGTCTATCGTGAGCTCTCACGTGGCGAGAAAAACAAACTAATAGTTTTCGTGTTACATGTTATATGGCAGAACTTTAAGTGCCACAGCCATAAAATAAGTAATCAAGGATTTTCCAAGTAACGAAGCTTATCCTAATTAATTATTGTACATTATTAAATATGCTATGGACATAAGGATGCACTAAAATAAGGAACTAATTATGTTACATGTACGGATTAGATTCAATCAGTTCTCGGAACAAGTGGCTGCCACGGCTCGGTTAGCATTACAGTCTTATAACTTCGGTTTAATGGTGTTATCAATCAAGATCCAATAATTGTAATACGTTTATGAGGACGAGTTCCTAGACGTTTATAGTCTGAGAACACCCGTGCTTGCTTCTCGTATCGAGTGTGTAATAAGTTATCGATACCAGTATATAAGTTACAGCCCTACCATCGAAGGAAACAACCCAGCTTCTCGTAAATCACTGAAAAATAAGTTTAACTAGTGCTGTATGGAATGTAACAAATATTTTTTAATGGCTAATATCCTATTCCTAGACCTTTGAGGCTAATATCCTCTTAAAGTTAACAGAGACTAATCACGAATGTTAAGTGAAACAGCTCTAAACACCACTTAGTGTTAGTTCGCAAGCTCAAGGGAAAACAAATGTTAGCTAGATAAATTACACGAACGAACGTATCAAATAAATGTATTGCCGCTCTTAAGATAAAATGCAAATTTTTAACAGACACTAAAATAGGAAGAGTTTCGCAGTTGGAATTCTAGATAATGCTTAGTAGTTTCGCAGGTTAGATTAAATGTTTCACTATGAATATTATCTCGGAACCTTATAACGGCATTTAAGAGAGGACAATCGAGCACTACCTTTCATTTACCTAGATTTAGAGAACCTATGATTAGATCTAAGTTTAATACATTTCTTCATGTTAATTTCGTTTCTATAGTGCACACAACCGGCATTTGAATTTATGATTGGCAGTTATATTCGGAATGTGTTGAATTTAAAGTGGTTTAATTAGATGCTGTCGTAATGTTTGTAGTTGTTGTATCTGTAGCTTTTGATTCTGGCTATTAATAATTTATGGCTGATTAATAATTCTTTGTTATGATGCTATAAAAGCAAGAGCAATAATTACAACCTAAATTCTTTAATAGAGATTAATCCTTTAACACATAACATAATATAAGAATATCCCTTTTATCCTCGAAGGGGTAGGCAGAGGTGTACATTATGCCACTGTACAATGTAACACCCACTTTTCACTACATATGTTATGAGTCCCATGTAATAGGGGGTGAGCCTATTGCCATATACCGGGCACATTTCCAGACTCCGTGCTACTAATGAGATTTTTTTTTAAAAAACCAGTAATACTTTGCCCGACCCGGGAATCGAACCCGAGACCCGTTGCCCGGTAGTCGCCCTTGCGACCACTCGGCCAACGAGGCAGTCATCAATTCTTTAATTTCAATAAAACTAAATTGGTATTCCTAACATAGAGTAACTTAGGATACGTGATGAT